CCAGCCCCAGGTTTTCGAAGGTACCTTCCGTTCACACCTCGGGGTGGGGCCCCGCCAGCGAAAATCCAGTTTCTGTGTCCCCTGGCCCCTCCATTCCCTCTTCCACCCAGCCCCGCCGCTTTCCTTGTGTCGGAATGTGGCGGCATCTCCACCCCATGCTGGCGCCACCAGCCTCTTCTCCACACCTTTCCACCTGGGAATGCCCCATGGGAACTTCGCTGCACCGAGAGCACCTCGTTCCCAGCTCAGGGACTGGGGGCTGGGGGCGGGGGCGGCGGGCTGTGGAGGGGGAAGACGCGGAGGGTCGCGTTATGTTTGTGGAGAAGGAGCGAGGCCAAGTGGTGGCACCCCTTCTTTGCGGTGTTTGTAGGGGATTTCGCCGTCATTTTGTGTCCCGGCTTAGCGTATGGTGGGTCCGGAGGGGAAAGGTCCCGCCTGTGCTGGCTAGGGGACCGAAGGAGACTTGACTGTGCCCGAAGCCCGCGACGGGGGCTGAGGTCAGGTGGCGTGCGAGAAGCGATCTACCGCGGAGCTCCTCGGGCCGAGTGGCCTGGAGGAAAGGGCCTTATGAAATAGCTCCTGCCTCCTTTATTCTTTGGGGACGGTGGTATTTTAATAAGCCCTGCCTCTTTTTTGGAGCCCTGGTGGCGCAGTGGTTAAGAGCTCGACTGCTAACCAAAAGATCGCCAGCTCGAATCCACTAGCCGCTCCTTGGAAACCCTCGGGGGTAGTTCTGCTCTGTCATTGAGTTGGAATTGACTCGACAGCAACGGGTTTTGTTTTGTTTTGTTTTTTTTCTCCGTCTTTTTACTTGTGCCTTTTTAAACATATCTTTCTCAGTGTCCTCATCAGAATCGTGAGATCCGAGCTGGTGGATCCCAGTGTTATGCCCTTAGCTCATTTCTCCAAATTTACAAATGTTCTTTTTCTTACATTTTCAGTACAACTGGAGACCAAATAGAGTCAACTTTAAAAATAAAAACCTTTGAATCTAAATGCTAATCTAAACGCTAAATTAGTATGTTAAAATTGAGGTAATGTCTCTTTACAGATCCTTTCCTCTAACAAGCATGTTTTAAAATACCTATGATCTCTGTTACCAATACAATTTTCTTAACATTTAAATTATGTTTAGTAGTTCAGGAGAAATTTGACTATTTCTAGTATTCAGATTTTTTCTTTGAAGGACATTTCTTATAAAAGAGCTAATGATACAATAAGGGCCGCTATATATTGAGTTTTTACTATGCATTCGGAGCCCTGGTGGTGCAGTGGTTAAGCGTTCGGCTGCTAACCAAAAGGTCAGCAGTTGAAATCCACCAGCTGCTCCTTGGAAACTCTATGGGGCAGTTCTACTCTGCCCTATAGGGTCGTTAAGAGTCAGAATCAACTCAATGGCAATAGGTGGCAGTGGGACTATGCATTCAGCACTGTGCTAGGCATTATCCATCTAGTTCCTTTCCTCATTAATTCTACAAGATATGTATTATTAATAATATGTAGTGACAGGTAATCTTTATTGAATACTTACTACGTACCAAGTTCTAAATAGATACTTTTATTATTTTGATATCGTGAGTGAGAAAACTGAGGCTCCCAGAGGTAGCCTAAGGTCACACAGCGAATGAGAGAGAGATTGAGGTCTTAAATACAAGTCCATTTTCCAATATTTTAACAGATAAGCTCAACTAACTCTGTCCCTTCTGCCACCAGATGCACAAAAGTAGCCTCTGTCTTTTTTAAAAAAAAAAACAAAACGAAAAACCTCATTTGACTGTTGTCCCTTCTAGCTGCTGTTCATTTTCTTCCTTCTAATCATTGCCAAATTATAAAGGGGATGGGGGAGTGATTGGGTTCATACCGTCTACCTCATTTTCTAGCACATCACTCATTTAATTCTAGTCAATCTGATTTCCATTTATTACCACCGCTTTGTTGAAGTGTATTATTGTATGTAATGCTGCTTTATTCAGTAATGGGTTGAATTTCCAGTCAGATTTGAATTTATTGAAACAGCCATGCCTTGTCATTATTTTACAGACATCATAGTACCTAGCACTGGGCTGAGGCCAAAAGTGTTCTGTAACGATTAGATGATTAATTAAGTTAGAAAAAAGATCTTCAAAATACCAAAAACTGTAGAGATTTGATAATAGCCCCAGTCCAGGATATTTTTCTAAATTTACTGTATTGTGTGTCAGTAATTAGATTCTGCTGGTTATGGTAAAGAAAAATGCTACAGACATATCAATAAGGATTCTTTTTTAAGAGTTATTTTATTTTAGCGAAAAGGTGATAAGCCAGTCTTTCTTCCCCACCAAACAAAAAAAAAAACAAGCCCATTGTCGTTGAGTTGATTCCAACTTATAACAACCCTATAGGACAGAGTAGAACTGCCCCATAGGGTTTCCTAGGAGCACCTGGTGGATTCGATCTGCTGACCTTTTGGTTAGCAGCTGAACGTCCAAGTTGCAATGCATTGTGCATATATATACTGCTAATGCTAGAATTAAATTTTTATGAACTATAGCCTTATAGCTGGGTTTATGTTTTCCTGGGAAGGGGACTATAAGTGTTTTATATATGATTTCATTTAATTCTTAAACAGTTCTTTAGTGGTTAAAGAGTATGGGGCTATGATGTCAGACAGTCCTGGGTTCAAGTCCTAGCTCTATCACTTACTAATTATGTGGCTTTGAGGAAATTTCTTAACTTTTCTAAGCCTCAAATGTCTCATCTAAAAAATTAAGGGTAAAATAATACCTACCACACAGAGATATTTTGAGAATTAAATGAGATAATGCATATAAAACATTTAGCACAGTGTCAGGCACATAGTAAGCGCTCAGTGTGTGGCTGCAATTTTAAGGAAGTTAAGGCTTACCTGTCTACCCTGGCTGAGTTGCCAATGGATATTACTATTAGGTTTTCATATAGTCAAATGAATCTCCAAACTACTTCTGCTTCTTCCATTGTATGATTCTGTAAACCACCACCCTGCCAGAGAGAAGTCCCCAGAGAGAAGAAATTATTTCAGATGACTACAGATTAACTGTGGTCTGTTTACACACACAAAAAAATCCCAGGCATGGTATTCAGGTATGAGTTCTGGCATGATTTTTCTTACTGTTGCTACAGTCCATGTTAAACTCATTAAAGGATTTTGTCACATGAGCATAGTTTCACCTAGTTCCCCTTTCCTGTCTCCTGCCCTTCTCAAATGGGCTGTGTATCAGATTACCATCCATTCTTCTCCTCTTGCTTGCCATCAGAACTCTCATTCACTCAGTATATCTAAGCTTAAGAGCAAAATTAAAAGCTGCCTCGAGGTGGAATTTGACCAAAAATGGACCATTGAGATCTTCTATCTTTAAATCCTCTCCAATATTTTCCTGTGAACCCCAGTGAATCTCTATTTGGGACATTTCAGAAATTCCCTTCTCTGTTTTCTTAAATTTCATATGAAGTATCCCGATGTATACGTAAGTGTTTAGTGGAATAGTGTGAAAGTCCTACTGTGAGTATGATGTTTATTATGTTTTATCATTTCGATTGATAGAAAAATTTGCTATTTGATGACATATCCATGTTGTTTTAATATATAAACACTATTTTAAGTGTGCTATGATGCTGAATGTTCACTTGTTATCCATAGGTTTTCACTGGCTGATTTTGGGAAGTAGACCCCCAGGCCTTTCTTCCTAGTCTGTCTTAGTCTGGAAGCTCCTTAGAAGTGAGGATGGTGAAACTTCAGCTCACTTACTTTAGGCATGTCATCAGGAAAGACTAATTGCTAGAAAAGGACATCATAAAGTTGAGGTCAGAGAAAATGAGGGAAGCCCTCAATGAGATGTGTTGACATAATAGCCACAACAATGGACTTAAACATACCAGTGATCATGAATATGGCACAGGACCAGGCAACGTTTCATTCTGTTATATACATAAGGTCACCATGAGTCAGAGCTGACTCGCAAGCAACTAACAACAACATGCTGCTGAACAGGTTTCAGTAGAGCTTTCAGACTAAGACAGACTAGGAAGAGAAGCCTGGCAATCTACTTCCGAAAAGTCAGCCTGTGAAAACCCTATGAATCACAAAGGTCTGATCCTGTTGTGCAAGGGGTCTGTGGCCTACTGGTCAGCAGCTAACAACAACCACCATTAAGTAAAATTGACTTCCCAGAAGATGTACCCCAGTTATTCTGTATTCTGGTACACTCAACCTAGCCCTAACACCCCAATTTCAGAAGCCTGACTACTACTTAGTTTTTTCCATCTAGATGTAAGCCTGTTCTTACTTCAGAAAAAAAGATACAGATGAGACCTCCAGCTATCTCCCAGATGAGATGGGTAGGAAAGAGCAGAAAGTTCTTACACAAGTTTCAGGGCTCAATTTGAGCCTCAGCCACCCATTTCTATTTCTGTGGAGTTTGTATCACCCCACCAACAACTCCATAATTGTCTTCAATTTGGCTGGACCTTAAGATCTAGAAAGATGGGAAGAGGAAGGAAGGAAAATAGAGGGAAGAGAAGCAATTATAGAATTGATTAAATATAGTTTCTTCATAATCTAGCCCTGTACTGTGTAATACAGTAGCCACTAGCCATATATGGCTGTTGAACGCTTGAAATGTGGCTAGTTCAACTGAAGAACTGAATTTTAATTTATTTAATTTAAATTTTAAAACTTAAGAAGTGTAAAATATTTTTCCCATAAACATTACTTCATTGTTTTGGTAGGACTATATTTCACCTTAACTGCTGAAAATTTAGCTTCTGAATTGAGATATGCTGTAAATGTAAAAGACCAGATTTCAAAGACTTACTATGAAGAAGAATGTAAAATATCTCATTATTAATTTATATACTGATTACATGTTGAAGTGATATTTGGATCTCCTGGGTTACATAAAATGTACTATTAAAATTTATTTCACCTGTTCATTTGTAGTTTTTTTAATGTGGCTTTAAAATACATATAATTACATATGTGGCTTGCATTATATTGGACAACTCTCATCTGGCCCCACTACATCCAATCTTATTTTCCCTTCCTTCCTCAGCAGAGAAGTTTCTGAGGGTCAGGAAGGAGAATCTGTACCTAACTCCTTGAACACCAAAGGAGGCATGGCTGCCAGGGTCACTGTGAGTTATGGATTCAGAGGTTCTCGTTAGGGTCTTAGAGTAGTTTCCAGCTTTATTCATACTCCCATTTCTTCATTACCTTAGATATACTATGGTATACTAGATACACTTAGATATACTATGACTACAAAAGTAATACTAACTATAGTAATTATGTTTATTAATTACCATCAAACATGGTAATGTTTTTGCATATTGTTAAATATTGGTGGATTAACTTCCTTTCAGGTTTATTCAATAATAACACTATACATTCATATATATTTATATCAGCCACTCGCATAGCATGGTCATACTCTCATAACTTTAAAAATTAGAGGGACCAATTTATGTGAATCCCTCAAAACACATGTATCACACATTTCTTTGCTATAATTGTTTTTAATTTTTCAATAAATACCAGTAAATACTTGTTGGATAAGTGAATTTTTTTTAGTATATCAAAGAATTTACCAATAAGAAAATATGTTTTTGTTGTGGGGAGTTACTTTTAAATGTAATACGTGATAGTGATAATAATTAAGTTCTGGAAATAGTTTGCCTTGTTCTATAAAAAATTGAGGTGGCATATAATATAAATAACAATAAAATATAATAAAATTATATTACTATACAAGCAGAATAAAAAACTATCAGGAAAAAAAGAACATCACCAATAGATTATAAACTCAGCATAATTTCTATAATTAGCTTTTATATTTGGTTTTGAGTTTCCTAGTAGCCAAAGAAAAATGGTATATAGAATCTGTTACATAATTCTTAGTATATGAGAAGAGAAAGTATATGAGTTACCCAAAGGAAGCATAGCTTTTCCTAGCAATAAATTCTAAAACTAATTTCTCATTGAGTCACTGTCACAACATTTTAATAGCAAGTTCAGCAACATTTTATATGAATGCATCTCGTAGTGTCATCCAGTTGTTTTTATGTAGAAATGAATAAGAGTATGATAAATAATTGTATTTTTTGTTTTTACAGGAATCTTGGGAAACTAAAATGAGGCACAATCAGATGTGTTGTGAGACACCACCTACTGTCACTGTTCATGTAAAATCAGGGTCAAATAGATCACATCAGCCTAAAAAACCCATTAATCTGAAGCGTCCTATTTTTAAAGATAGTTGGCAAGCATCTGAAAAAAATGCACATAGTAACAACAAATCTAAACGTCCCAAAGGACCTTGTCTAGTTATACAGCGTCAGGAAATGACTGCTTTCTTTAAATTATTTGGTAGGTTTAAAATATTGTAATGCTAGTAATTGTAGAGTACTTACTTAGAATGTGAAGATCTATTTTATCCACACTTTCAAAATATTTAAAGAAGATGCTGTTATTTTCTATGTCAGATTTCCCATCTTTGACCATATTTGTTTATGTTTTATCTTTTTTTTTTTTTTAATGTTGGGTTTTTATTTGTTTGCTTTTGGATTAAAAATTCAGACTTACCTAGCTTCTAAGACTACTTAAATCCAGATGTCAAATGTAAATTTTGGGCAATTCAGGTTCATAGCATGAGTTTTGTTTGACCTAAAGTAAAACTACTGCATAAGGTCTTAGGGTAAGCTGGCTAACTCAGTTTGACTGGGCCTGAGGGGTTTCCTGAGACTGTCAGTGTTAAATAGGGTCAGTGGGAAGGTTGGCCACCTAGAGAAGTTTCAGTATTACACCTTGGGAATACTGTTTAAAAATTAACTATCCTTTGTCATTATGCTCACATAATGAAATTTAGTTTGAATTTGTTCAGATGATGAGACGATGCTACTTTCCTATTTCTTTACAAATAGCCAAACAAAACTTTTTTATACGTACTCCTACTGGCCAAGAAAGAGAAGGGGTTTTGTTTTTTGTTGTTGTTGTTTAGATAGGGTAGTAAAGAAGACAGTGACAGTGGTAGAATTAATGAGAGTAAGGGATAGGATTTATGGATTTTGGTAAATATCTGTAGTAATGGAATGAATCCAGTCAAGTAGAAAACAGAGTCTGGTAGATCCACGTAACAGGCTTCCTTGTTTGTAGAGGAAGGCCAGGTGCTGCATGTAAGAGGAGCGAGTTGGGGACAAGAGTTTTTGGACTCCTGAGAGAACATAAATCTTAAAAAAAAAAGAAAAAAAAGAGTAGAGGAGGGACAGACTTGTTAAGGTTTAAAGAAAAGCAAAATGAGAAGATTAGAAGAAAAAGAAAAGAAAAGCCTATGTAAGTAATGTATGTAGAAAAACATTGGGATATAAAGATGATCCTGTTAGGATCTAGAATGTTGTTAATACAAGTTTCTCTATCATTATTAATGGTAGAACAAAATTGTTACCCATAAACTTTTTTAGTACCCTAAATGATCATGAGAAATAAAGAGAAAATACCTGGCTGTGCTATTTTAGGTCACTTAAGAAATGGAAATGGAATTAATGTGGCAGAAATTATTCTCAGAAAATCAGTACTATTCTTGGAACTTTCTAGGGTGTAAAAATGAATATGAAGAAGTTATGTTTTGTTACTTAAACTGAGTAGAGGAGATGAGGAAAAAGCAAATTTTCCCACATTATATTCTAACAGCTACCAATATATTTTAGCCCTTGAAAATTGCAGTAAATGTCTCGACCAACTTTTTGGTTGTTATACTTTTTCTACCAGTATTTTTATTTGTTGATCTTTTTGTCAGATACTCAGTTTTCCAAAATTAAATGTTAATTATAAATTGTTAATGAATTGTGAACCTTTTTACATAAATAATTTTATGTTTATTCAAATAGTAGATAAGTGGAACAGAGATAAATAGGAGGAGAGAAGAAGAATCTAAAACTAAGAATACCCTGGAGCCTAAAAGGAGAAAGGAGTAGAAAAAGTAAAACATATTTAGAAAACAGAGTATTCATTAAGCCATTATTTCTCAGAGACTTGAGTTTGCTTTTATCAGATTCCATTTCCACCTGGTAAAGATTGATTTTGGAAAGGAATGAAGAGCTAGTCTAGAGCTACCCAAGATGCATTTCTCAAAGTGCTTCTGGATGTTAAAAAATGAAACACTCCTCCAATCTGAGGTATATATTAAGGCAAATCAGATGAGAAGACAAAGAATAAGGTGGTAGCTTTTTGTCCAGTGCTTGCAATGGTAAATACACCAAAGAACTGAAAACTACACTTTAGATAACACTGTATGTTCATTTGTGTTTGATATCTAAGCATCATTTATAATCTGCTTATGTAGAAATTAATTTTTTAAAAAGAAACATTCCATTTTTAAAAGACAAGTCATAGCTATCTTTTGTTGTAGATGACGATTTAATTCAAGATTTCTTATGGATGGACTGCTGCTGTAAAATTGCAGACAAGGTAAATTTGGTAACAAAATCATTAACCAGCATTGTGTTACTGAGCCATCAGAACTTTAATGAGACCCTTCAAGAATTTTCTCTTACTAATTAAAGTTAGGAAAAGAACTAACCTGCGTTGTTCCTTTAAACTAGAATCCTTACACATTAACTTTTAAATTAGCATACACCGTAGATCCATTCTGTACTCAAGGAATTGTAGAATATTGTTGATTAGATCTAAATAGTTCGTATTTGTTTAACTGAAAGCAAGAAGCAGTACAGACTTAATATATTTTTGTTAGAATTATTATCTTTCATCGGGCTGCGAAAAAAGAATATTCTGAGAATCACTCCACTAAGACAGTTTGTTATACATATTAGTGTTTACAAATCCCAAGAATCTTGTCAGGTAGAATTAGTTTAACATGTTCTTTATTTAGAAATCATTGTTTCATAAAAGAAAATCATGCTGCTAACTTAACATACTACGAACAGTGATGTTTCTTTACTCTTAAGAGTTAGCTGAATGGTCAGGATTTCAGCTTTGTAAATGTCATTTTAGATATATTAGAAAATTCAGCATGACTTCACATAACACAGTACTGTGGCAACCTACAGAAAAGAGAATGAACAGAGGCTAGCTTGTGATTAAATACTCATTAAGTTGGTATTGATGTGAACATTTTTATTTCAAGCTTAAGATGACAAAGATAAAATTGGAGAAGATTTTTTATTTTTAGAAAATTTCAAACATTTAAAACTTGAAGAAGAGAGAATAGAACAAAGAACCTCCACGTGCCTATCATCCAGCTACAACAATCGTCAACTCATGGCCATTCTGTTTCTTCTAACCTCTCTTCCCTAAACTGGATTATTTTGAAGCAAATCCCAGACATTCTAACATTTTATCAATAAATATTTCCTGGTGTATCTTTAAAAGATAAGGGTTCTTTTTAACAATCACAATGTCACTAATACTTTTAAAATTAATACTAATACGTTAATATCATCAAATACCCAGTTCATGTGGAGTTAGATTATTTTTTAAATGTTTTGAGTTGAAGTACATTGCAATAATTAAAGTTGTTAGACAGCAGGGTGCAGTGTTTGATAAGTAACCAGGAGTACCATATCTTAACACTATTTCAGGAGTCCTCTACTGAAACAGTGGTTAAGTGTTTGGCTGCTAACCAAAAGGTCAGCCATTCGAATCCACCAGCTGCTCCTTGGAAACTATATGGGCCAGTTGTACTCTGTGCTGCAGGGTCGCTATGAGTGGAAATCGACAGCACCAAGTTTGGTTTTGGTTTGCTGCTGAAAGTTACCTGGAAAACTGGGACTCATTTTTATGGCCAAGCTTGTGAAGATGAGATGAATAGGCATTTTAAATAGGAAATCTAATACATCAAGATTATAACTTGTTTTTAATTTGAATAGTCAGAACCTGACATAATATCCTAATGTCAGACTAGACATCTTTTTAATAATGCATTTAAATGACTTTCCCCCATGAAAACAGCCATGTTATTCTAATTTCTGATTAGAGGTCATTTTAAAAAGCGAGTATGCATGTGTGCAACTAACTCAAAAGGTTTAGAAAGAAATATGTATATATATGTACATGTATATACAAACATCATAACTAGCATGCAAACATGGCAAAATATTAATAGTTCGTGACTCTAGGTGAAGGATATATGGTTATTCATTTTCGTATTCCAGCTTCTCTGTAGGTTTGAAATTTAAGTCAGGAAAAAAAATTGAGTTTTTAGTCAAAAATATTGGCAATATAAAAATTTAGGAGTTCATCTGGTTATAATTTTAATTGTGATAGATGGTCAAGAACTGTTTCTCATTGTTCATATAGATTACAGGAGGCCAAAAAATAAGTACTCAAATAAATAGGTAATCCTATAATAAGGATAAATAATTAATGTTTTCACTTATTCATCAGAAATTTTAAAAATTAACTATTTTAATGCAGTTTCACTTATTAAAACAAAACATTAATATTAATTTTTAACTTTTTTCCCTATAGTATCTTTTGGCTATGACCTTTGTTTATTTCAAGAGGGCTAAATTTACTATAAATGAGCACACCAGGCTAAATTTCTTTATTGCTCTGTAAGTATACTTTCTACTAAGTGTTTTTTGTGGTAGTTATTTATAATATATATGATACCATATTTAAAACAGAGGATTTTTAAAGCCTTATATAATCTTTAAGTAGGTCTTCCTGTATAAAAGCTTTACATTTTTCACCTTCATAAGGTATTTTCTATGTTCTTTTCACTGACCTTATTTTGCTATATGCCTAAGATTTATTGTTCAGTATTCCACTTGAGTTTGTATTGTGCCTGTTAACATTTTTCAGAGTGTTCCCATATAAATTATCCCAGATTTGTCTCTTTTGTACTTAGGTATTGTTTTAAAGCTAGAGTATTCTCTGAGATTTCTAGTTAATGTGTAGTAAAAATCATCCATCATCATTGTGCTTTTACATTGAACAGCTTGTGAAAAATGCTCTAGACATACTTTTTGTGGATTTATGTGTATAACATAAGAAGGTGTTCGTATCTGATACAGTTAATATTTACTGACTATCTTACTGAACACACTGGACTGTGACAAAGGAATACAGTTTATTTTCCAATTCTTCTGTTGACTTTATGTTAGATAGTTCATATTAGCTTTGTGTTCTGTTAAATGGTTTTAATGACATGGTTTTCTAATCAATAGGTCAGAATTCTGCTAGAATCAATGTAATTTGAGAATTTATTTCCACTTCTACCCTATACCTGGATGTAATGCTACAATTGGTAATGTCTGATTAGAGTTCTAAGTACTTTACTAGGGAACTACATATAAAAATATTCATGTTGAATACCACAATAGCTGTCAGTCCTGAAGAATAATTTTTTACTCAAGTGTATTTAATTCAGAATCAAAGCATTACCAAGTAGGACTAGAAGAAACTGATCCCTCCTTATATTCAGAGGACACATTTCCCAGTGAATAGGGAAAAGTGAACTCAGTAACAGTTGGCAGATATAAAATTTTGTGATTGCAAAACTGGGGAGATATATAATGGAATGAACAAGTCTGTCTTGGAAGAAGTACCAGGATGCTCCTTAGAAGCAAGCATGGTGAGACTACGTCTCACGTACTTTGGACATGTTATCAGAAGGGATCAGTCCCTGGAGAAGTACATCGTGCTTGGTAAAGTAGAGGGTCAGCGAAAAAGAGGAAGACCCTCGATGAGATGGATTGACGCAGTGGCTGCAATAATAGACTCAAACATAGCAACGATTGTGAGGATGGTGCAGGTCCGGGCAGTGTTTCGTTCTATTCTACATTGGGTTGCTATGAGTCGGAACTGACTCGACAGCACCTATTATGGATTGAATTGTGTCCCCCAAAAATATCTGTCAACTTGGCTAAGTCATGATTCCCAGTATTGTATGATTGTCTACCATTTTGTCATCTGATGTGATTTCCCTATGTGTTGTAAATCCTATCACTATGATGTAATGAGATGAATTAGTGGCAGTTATATTGATGAGATTACAAGATTAGATAGCGTCTTAAGCCTGTCTCTTGAGATATAAAAGAGGGAAGCGAGCAGAGAGACAGGGGACCTCATACCACCAAGAAACCAGCGCCAGGAGCAGAGCACGTCCTTTGGACTTGAGATTCCTGTGCTGAGATGCTCCCAGTCCAAGGGAAGACTGATGAAAGGACCTTCCTCCAGAGCCGACAGAAAGAGAAAGCCATCCCTGGAGCTGGTGCCCTCAGTTCGGATTTCTAGCCTGCTGGACTGTGAGAAAATAAATTTCTCTTTGTTAAAGCCATCCACTTGTGGTATTTATGTTATAGCAGCACTAGATGACCAAGACAGCACCTAACAACAACAATGACATAATGGTATTCCCTCAAACTTATGTTTAAGTGTTATGTGCAAGGCACTACAAAAATTTTTAAATATATTAACTCATTTAATCTTCTCTATGAATACTTTTTTTATTATCCGCATTTTACAGAGAGGAAACTGAGACTTAGGAAGATAAGTACTTTTCAAGATCACCAGAGTTAGTAAGCAGCAAAGCTGGGGCACAAATTTAGGTGTGAAGCCAAAGTCTTAGCCGTTGACCACTAAGCTATATTGCTACTTACATGTCTGATAGTTTTGGATTATATCTATATGTCTATGCAGTATCTGGAGCCCTGTTGACACAGTGGTTAAAGAGCTTGGCTCCTAACCAAAAGGTTGGCAGTTTGAATCTACCAGCCACTCTGGAAACTATGGGACAGTTCTACTCTGTCCTATAGGGTCACTGTGAGTTGGAATCAACTCGACAGCAATGGGCTAGGTTAGAGTATGCAGTATCTATATTGTAGTTTTTTCTCACCTGAGAATTAAAAACAAACCAAAAGAAGCTTTAGTTTAAATCTTGCCATATGCCTGATATTGGATTTGTTTCCTTTGTTTTGTAAAGTTATAACTACTAAGCACTATGTCAGCTTACACTGCATAGTAGTCTGTAAGGTTGCTGTCTTAGTTATCGAGTGCTGCTATAACAGAAATATCACAAGTGGGTGGCTTTAACAAAGAGAAGTTTATTCTCTCACAGTTTAGGAGGCCAGAAGTCTGATTTCAGGGCGCCAGCTCCAGAGGATGGCTTTCTGCCTCTGTCAGCTATGGGGGAAGGTCCTTGCCATCAGTCTTCCCCTGGTCTAGGAGCTTCCCAGGGCAGTGATCCCGGTTCCAAAGAACACGCTCCTGGCACTGGTTTCTTGGTGGTATGAGACCCCCTGTCTCTCTGCTCACTTTTCTCTTTTATATCTCAAAAGAGATTGACTCAAGACACAACCTAATCTTGTAGATTTGAGTCCTGCCTCATTAACATAACTGCCTCTAACCCTGCCTCATTAACATTACAGAGGTAGGCTTTACAACACATAGGAAAATCATATCAGATGATAAAATGATAGATAGTCACACAGTACTGGGAATTATGGCATAGCCAAGCTGACACACATTTTGGGGGAACGTAATTCAGTCCATAACAGTTGCATTGCATGTTGGATTTTTATAAGCTCCTTATTAAAAATAACATGAAGTATAATTTCTTTTTTATAATCTAATAGTACTTTTTGTATAGCCTTACTCAATAGTTCTTTTCTCATTAAATATTTTTTTCAGTTAGCCACAGTTCTAAAGCTCAAGTTTGTTTCCTTTCTCTGTATTCTTATAAAATTTCTATATATTCTTATAACACTCTGAATTTTTATTACCCTTCTTCCATATTCTGTCTCATAGTTATTTGTTTCATACTTAACTTGCCTCTTTACTTGACTGTAGGCTTCTTAAGGTCAAGAAATGTGTATTTTATTCTTTTTCATATCGTCTAATGGCTAACATACAGGAGGTTCTTAATTCTTTTTGAGTAATTATAATTAACTATTATACAAAAGAAATGGACTCTGTTCCAAGGAAATCTGACTAGTTCACATTAGAGGACAACCTGCATGTATACAATACAAATCTTTCATCACATGGAGCCTGAAACATTGTTAAGCTAGAGTAGAATCATGATATAGTCCTGATATCATAGTAGCATAGTACATTATAGATTTTCCACATTTTACTTCGTGAGCAAGCATATTAGGGGCCAACCTCAGGCTCTATCTGCCCTTTGCTAGGAGGTATCAAGGATGCTAAAGAAAATATTGTTTGTAATTTCACAGAGGACATGATTTGATCCGTATTATGTACCTGAATGGATTTAACAATGAGGTGCTTTATAATTAGGTAATATTAAAATATGTATAGTTATGTTGAGAGAGGATAAAATAATATGTAGGTGTTCATTTTATATTAATGTAACTGAATGTGAATGTGCATGTGATTTTTTTTAAAAGATTTAAAAAAGAGTATACAGTTAAAAATAAGTTTTCCTGCCATCTCAGAACCTTGACCTCCTTCCTCAAGGACAACAGTTAACAGTTTTATGTGTATCTGTCTAGAAATACTTTTCTGTACATGAACTTGTGTGTGTGTGTGTGTGTGAGAGAGAGAGAGAATCAAAATAAAAAGAATACTTGGCGTACCTGTGACTCAGCTTAATAGAACATTGCAAGAACCAGAGAAGCTCCCAGAAAACTTTTCCCGACCAGAGCCTCCTCCCTTTCAAAATATTTCTAAGCAAAATATTTTATTTTTCCTGTTTTTATGGTTTATATAAAAGAATCATTGTGTATTATTTTTCTGTGACTTCCTTCTTTTATAATATGATTTTGAGATTCATTTATATTGATATGTGTATAGTAGATGTAGTTCATTTTCAGTGCAGAACAATATTGTTGCTTATATATTTGGATTTTTTCTACCATCTTGTCATGTAGTTTCTATTTGTCCCATTTTTTTCTATTTCTTTTTTCCCTCCATTTTGTCTTCTTTTTGATTGAGGTTTTTTATTTTTCTTTTTGCCACCTTTTTTTCTTCTACTTGTTTGGAAATGATGCAGTCTGTATCTCTTTTTTTAGCAGTTACCCTTATTTTTATTACAGGAAACTTATGCACTTTAATGCTGATCACCTCCTTCCCAATGTATCATCTCTTATCTTGCAGTTTTATAGTTTTACCTGATGTCCCCTCAATTAGGCATTGCTGTTTTATGTGTTTAATATTTGTTTAAATTTACCCACATGTTTATATATTTGCTTAGCATTCCTTCTTGCATCTGAAATCTTATGCTTCGGATTATTTTCCTTCCTTTTGGACTGCCTTTTTTTTTTTTTTTTAATAGACTGTTTATTAGACCGAAACCCTGGTGGCGCAGTGGTTAAGAGCTCGGCTGCTAACTAAAAAGTCTTCAGTTTGAATCCACAGACTGCTCCTTGGAAACCCTATGGGGAAGTTCTCTGTCCTATAGGGTTGCTATGAGTCGGAATCGACTCGACGGCAACAGGTTTGGTTTGGTTTTGGTATTTATTAGATCAGTTTTAGGTTTATAGAAGAATTGAGCAGAAAGTGCAGAGTTCCCATATACTCCTCACCCCACTACAAAGTACATCTCTGTTGTTAACACCTTGCATTCATGTGGTACATTTGTTACAATTGA